AAAATCTTTTATTATGACGACATTTTTTTTTCTATTAGCCTCGTAAGAAGTAATTCTCTTCGATACACAATTAATTACACAGTAGATATGAATATTTCACTTATAAATAATTGAATTATTTTCAATAAAAAAAAAACTAGTTTCTTTCATTACACTTAATTCCTATTGTTCTTACCGGAAATCTGCTGTAGAGCTGATCCGCCAGGTAAGATCGATGAGCCTTCTTTACGGGTACGCTGGTGCTCCAAGGTGGGGGGGGGACCTGCAACAGAGACTCCGATGTTAAAGTTAGTGTTTGTGGGAGTATGAATCTCGTATAAGTAATGCACGTACCTTAGTGTGAATTAGGGTTGCTTTGGGCCTTAGGCTTGAGATAAGACGTAATATGATTAGATAACGGACCTCATCTGGGGCGAGATCCTCGGGAATCGATTATGATTCACTTAAATGCCGAGCTGATGCCATGCGGTGCGCGTCCGAGGTCGGCTTGCGTTGTGGTGCCGAGCTCAGAGCTCGGTTACGCGATACGGATAGTACACTAGCCCCCCGAGCTCTGAGGACCGTAGGTCGAGGAGTTAAGACCGAGCTCGCTGGGGGGAGGTGACCTCTCGCGTACGTATGCTCGTTGTGGTGCCATGTGTCGCGACTATTCATTTCCCGGGAACGTGCAAGTGGCACGTTTATGGGAGATGACAATTATGTAATGATGGTCTTGCAATTAATTGTGTTGTCAGGCGTGTCCCCTGACCAACACGTAGCGTGGCGGTTTTGAAATGTGGGAAGGAGCCCCTTTTCTCTTTCTTTCCCGCGTCTCTTCCCATTCACTCCACTTTCTTCTACTTTTTGGCTTCTTGGGTACGGTAGCCCTCTGTGCCTTCTCGTTCCTAGCTTTCTCGCTTTCATCTTCGTTTTTACAGTCTTTCTTCGAGTCTTCTTGATGGCTGGTGGCGTTCTCTGCTACGGCCAAGTAAAGGAGGAGGTCGGTGTTGTGATCCGGCCTCTATAGGATTGGTGGAGTTGTGAGGAAGGTTTTGAAGCTTTGGAAAGCTTCTTCGCACTGATCTGTCCACAGGAAATCCTTTGGCTTTTTTAGTAGGGTGAAGATTGGTCCCGCCTTTTTCGCGAGTTTGGGAATGAAGCGGGACAGTGAGACTAACCATCCGGTCAAGCGTTGGACTTCTTTCACCGTTTGTGGGCTTTGCATCTGGATGATGGCCTTGCACTTCTCGGGGTTGGCCTCGATTCCTCTACTGGTAATCATGAAGCCGAGGAACTTACCCCCGTGGACACCGAAGACACACTTCTCCGGGTTGAGGCGCATGTTATGCTTCCTGACCTGGGCAAATATTTCGGCAAGGTCGGCAGCGTGGTCTACCGCCGAGGTATTTTTGACTACCATGTCATCGACGTAAACTTCCATGTTTCTCCCGATCTGTTGACGGAAAACCTTATCCATCAGCCGCTGGTAGGTTGCCCCTGCATTTTTGAGGCCGAAGGGCATCACCCGGTAGTAATAGTTGGCGTGGTCGGTGATGAAAGACGTATGCACTTCATCGGGTGGGTACATCATTATCTGGTTGTACCCAGAGTAGGCGTCGAGGAAACTGAGGAGGGCGTGTCTGGAGGCTCCGTCGACTAACCTGTCAATGCTCGGCAAAGGGTATGAGTCCTTGGGGCATGCTTTATTTAGGTCGGCATAGTCGACGCACATGCGCCACTTCCCCGAGTTCTTCTTTACCAGGACCATGTTCGCCAGCCATGTGGTGTATTTGACTTCACGGATGAAGCCAGCGTTGAGCAATTTCTGTGTTTCAGCGACGATGGCTTCCCGTCTTTCGTCGCCGACTTTCCTCTTCCTTTGGGCGACTGGTTTTGCCTCCTTGTGTATTGCTAGCCTGTGGCAGATGAAATCGGCGTCTATGCCTGGCATGTCAGCGCTAGACCAGGCGAAGAGGTCGGCATTATTGAGGATTCCCGCTTCAAGTTACTGTCGCAACTTTGGAGTCAACTGTCTGCTGATCTTCGTGGTTTGCTTGGGGAGTTTCCCGATCTGGAGGTCATCGAGCTCGTCTACGGGGGTACACTCGTCACGAGCGTCGGATCTTGGATCGAGGTCGGTGATTTCTTCGTGGTTGATGCGAGCCACGGTGGTAAGGTTGCTCTTGCACTGTTCGCCAGGTGAGGCGACTTTCAGGCTTTTGGTGTAGCATTGTCGTGTCGTCTTCTGGTTTGCTCTGACGGAGATAATCCTCCCATCATGCCCTGGGAATTTCATGGTGAGGTGTGGGGTGGACACTACCGCTCCGAGCTGATTCAAGGTTGGCATGTCGATGATGATGTTATAGGAGGTGTCGGCTTCCACGAGGAGGTATCGAACCATGACCCGCCTTGAATCCGGAGGTGCTCCGAAAGCCGTCAGTAGGTCCACGTATCCCCGAGTGTAAACGCTCCTTCCTGCAAAACCGACTAGGGGTTCTGTGTGAGGTTCTATGAGAGAGTGGGGGACGTCTAACCTGAGGAATGTTGGCCAATATAGGATATTGGTCGAGCTCCCTTGGTCGACCAGAGTCTTGTGAACCTCCCAGTTGGCTAGCGCTACGGCTATGACCATGGGATCGTCCTGGTTGGGATTGATCCCGGCGTCGGTGAAAGTGATCGTCTACGAGCTCTGGTGCGAAGCAAAGGTGGTGAAGTGTACGCGATTGACGTTGCACAGGTGTTTTTTCCGGGCCGAGCTGCTGGCTCCCCCTCCTGCGAAGCCTCCTGCAATTGTGCTGATCACTCCCTGTGGGGGAGTTGATCCTGCCTCCTGGTTTAACTCGACTCGCACAGCTCCGCCGGGGTTGGGTTGAGAGCCGGAGGGATGATCAGAATATCGCCGCTGGGGTTGAGCGCGAATCCTATTGTTTTCCGCGCGCAGAGCCGCTAGGTCAGCCTCATTAGCGATACGCATCGCGGCTAGGTCAGTTTCGTGCTTGGCACGCATACTTTGTAGATCTGCGGCGTGTTGCTGCCGCAGCTGCTCGACCTGCTCGATCAGTCGTCTCACTGCTGCTTCATTATTCATGTTAGTTGTGTGATCTAGGTCGTCTGTTACGCGTCTGCTATGGCTTCTGGTGAAAACCATAAGCGTGGCCGATAAGAGCTGTCTTGATCGGCCCCACGGTGGGCGCCAAATGTTCTTACCGGAAATCTGCTGTAGAGCTGATCCGCGAGGTAAGATCGATGAGCCTTCTTTACGGGTACGCTGGTGCTCCAAGATGGGGGTGGTACCTGCAAAAGAGACTCCGATGCTAAAGTTAGTGTTTGTTGGAGTATGAATCTCGTATAAGTAATGCACGTACCTTAGTGTGAATTAGGGTTGTTTTGGGTCTTGGGCTTGAGATAAGACGTAATATGATTAGATAACGGACCTCGTCTGGGGCGAGATCCTCGGGAATCGGTTATGATTCACTTAAATGCCGCGCTGATGCCATGCGGTGCGCGTCCGAGGTCGGCTTGCGTTGTGGTGCCGAGCTCGGAGCTCGATTACGCGGTACGGATAGTACACCTATTATTTTTAATAAATTAAATACAGCAAAGGGGTATTTAAAATACGTCTACCCATATATAGAATAAGGCAAACTGCAGAGGACACTTGAACTAATTAAGCTTTCAATTGGGATATAATATCACCAATCAACATAAATTCAAACTATTATTCAACTTGAGAAAAGAATTAAGACCAAGATTGATTGGAAGAAAAATAAGTAACTAAAAGATTATATTGAATGGTTTAAAAATATTATTATATTTATTTTATTTTAATTTTTCTAAAATGAGATGATGCTTGTAGGGTCTTCTTTAACAACAATTTAGTTATAAAGTTATATTCTCTCTAGCTCATGAGGCAAGTAAAAAACATCAATTTATTTTTTATATTTACTTAGATTTAGCGATGGGTACGTCCCTAAGTTTTATGGGAGAAAGATCTAGCCATGAGTATATGTCCACCAAATAATCTATGAGCAAAATACAAAGTGAATTTCCTATGGAATAAAATAAACAAGACATTCTTTTTGAACATATTTAATCTTGGGGGAATATAATAACAAAAACTGCCAAGAGAACAAGAAATTACCATATCCCAAACATCTATTTTAGAATGAGAAATGATTTTGCAACCAAGCATAGGCTAACTTGGAAGAAAATATTTTAATTTGGATATTGTCAAGCTTCAACTTCCTCACATATCTGCTTGATCTTTTACCACATTAATTAATAGAAGAAAATATACAGCAGCTTAATGCGTAGATCTTCTTCCTAAAGGAAAAAATATTGACTTCAATTTATTAGCCTCCACACCAACCGTTTTATAACCAATAACCAATCTCATCGAATTTCTTGAAGTTATTAATTACCATATTAAACGGTCAAGGGAAAAAAGGTCTTTTAATTTAGGCTACAAAGAACCTAGCTAATAACCACATGAATAAATGAATAATATATACCACTCCTAATTCTCATTTCTTCAACCCTCCTATAGCTGAAACTGTTCTTGTAAAGTTTTATAGGAACCTAATTTACAAAAGTCCTTCCATCAAACTGAAAAGGTTTGAAAGTGGATAAGGACTTTGATCATGTTTGAGAGGGATTTTAAACAAAGATAAAATATTAACTGAGAGACTATTCAAAACAGAATCAATCAAAATGATTCAGCTCCAAAGGCAAATGCTTAAATGATTAAATTGAAAGCCTATGCTTCAACTAATCAATATATTAGGCTGCAAAGTGATTAGTGTGAGGAACATTAATTTCCCACCTTATGACATACTTTTATCACTCTCCAGTAGTATTAATTACCTATACTTTCTCGAAAAGAAAATTAATGACATCTGAATTGTACACAACCTGCAGGATGTACATGTAAAACTTTTTTTTGTAACAAACAGCTGTTCTTACTTTATATATACCGTTGCATAACACATAACACCAGCCTAGCTCCAACGGTACCCTTGTCGTATATTAAATTGTACACATGACATTTTATTGCAACCTAAAGCAATCAAGTCATTACAATCACGAACTCTTGACAATATAAAATGACGGTACAACAAATTGAAGGAAGACCATCCTTGAAGTTACACGTGAGATCCATTACTAGGTCCATCGACAAAAGATTAGAAGAAGATGAGAAAGCTAGTACTCCTAGATATATGCTCCTCATGGTTATAGAATATTGATTCCATCAATGCAAGGAGAAACTCTATCACAATTCACAAATAGCCAAATAAACCGGAAATTGAGTTTGAATATTCTGATTTGAATAGAGAGAAAGAGAATGGATTCCCACATAATTGAAAGTATAGGTAATTAAATAGCATAGACAGTAAATTATTTAATTTGAAGCAGTAAAAAAAGGAGGAGAGTGAGGGTGATGGATCAGATGGAGGCATGGAGAGAAGCATCGTGGACAAATTTCTTGACGAAATCTTCCAAAGCTTTGGCCTTAGAAGGGTGAAAGAGCTCGACCGCATGAAAGCCATCGTGGGCAAAATGCGTCTCGACGTGGACCCCATGCCTCTCCAAGATCCTACCAAGCTCCATCTGCTTCTCCACCAAGGGATCCCCCATGTAGCCGTTGATCAGGCACCAGGGCAACCGTGCGATCCGCTCCTTGTGCTCCTGCTCGGCCGCCGTCGGATTGCAGTAGACGTGGTCGCGATCGGCGCCCTCGGGAAGCGAGAGCGACCACATCATGTCGTTGGCTACTAACGGCAGTATGTGATCGTCGACGAGTCTGAGTTCGGATTCGGATCTCTGGACCCCACTGAGGTAAGGGATGTTCATTACGATGCCCAGGATTTTCAATGGCGAGAGGTCCATTTCGACCGCACGTAGCCCCGCGAAGTAGACGATGTTTCCCCCCGCGCTGCTTCCCATCAGGAAGCACTTGGAGAAATCCACGTGCTCGCGGACCCACGGGTCGGACTCGCCTGAATTCTGGGCCTGGGCCTGGGCCCACACGAGGGCGTCTTGCGCGTCCTCGTAGGCGGCCGGGAGGCGGTGCTCGGGGCAGAGGCGGTAGTCCACGGAGGCCACCACGGCGGGGAGGGCGGCGGCCAGGGCGGTGCAGGAATCGTGGAAGATGAGGGAGGCGGGGTGGTAGAGGATGAAGCCGCCGCCGTGGAAGTAGAGGATGAGGGGGAGCTTGCGGGTGGGCGGGGGCGGAGGGTGGGGGAGGAAGAGGCGGATGGAGGTGCCGGCGGCGGCG